TTGCTACTAATACTAAAAAAAAAAAATTAGATATAGACACCCTTGCTTTCCTAATCATAACTGTATTTACCTTACTAATAGTAACTCCTAACAAAGAAATTCACGGAAACAAAGCCTCCGCGTCCTTGTGTATTACAGCACCGCAGGGACCCACGGTCACGGCCTGTACGCTCCGGCGGGGCGGGCGACCCTCGCGGGCCGTGCCCGGCGCTGCTCCAGCCCTTTAAACACCGTGCCACCAGCCACCACTCCTGCCTCCTGAGCCGGAAAAATCCGAGCTGCCGGGAAACCGGGCAGGCTCAAGCCCTCCTCTGTCAAACAGTAACCCGCGGAGCGCGGGCGGACGGGGAGAGGCTGCGCGGGGCCGGGGCGGGACGCGGGCGCTGCGGCGGGAGCGGGGGTGCAGCAGAAGTACTGCGACCCCAAACCGGTCCAAAAAAGCTTTCTAACACCAACTCGGCATTTCGAAAGTCGGCATTCTTTATTGCAGCACGGGACGCACAGGCGATATCTCCGCCTAACGTGCGTGCCGTCATACAAAACTACAGCACGTTTATCAGGTTACGTGATTCGTATAAACCCGCCCGAATTTACACTTACGGGTTAGTGACTAACGCTGCCCACACTATTGGTTTACTGTAGTTAAATTAGCCTTGCTTGCTACGTAAATCAGCGCGCATGCTCCTTTCAGGTGGGGGGGGCAAGTCTTTTCGGTCCTGAATCAAGTCGGTGGTCGCGATCTCCCCTCGCCGCATTTACCTTTCACCCGTTTTTTGCGGTTTTACCAAACTTCACACTTCTCTGGCCACCGTCCAGGCTTTGGTGCCAAAACGTTCCCTTTTATCGGTCTGTCAGCTCCTCTCCAAGGCTGGAGCCGCTAGTTTTCCACAGTTCATTACTTCTACAAACACTTTCATCACTTTGAGCTCCCTCCCAAATTCCTTTCCCAGGGCACCAGTGGTCAGTAGTTTTACTAATTGGAAAAGTACCGTTTCTGCTTAGCTTTAGAAACTATTCACAACAGCGTGTCGGTTTGCGCGGTGCGTCCTGCGTGTGCACGCACCACGCGCGGGCTCCGTGCGGGTGCACGCGGCGTCTGTCAGCACCCTACGTCTGCGTACAGGGCACCGCTACGAACTGTGGCCGCTGCGGACGGAGCTGGGGACCCCCTTGGGAACACCCCGGGCCTGCACCGCGGGTGGCCACGGGAAGGGCTCCGGTGGCCTTACGCCCTTACACCTCCTCCTCTTTTGGTTGCCCAGGGAGACACCTGGGGAGCCTCGGCCCTGAAGGGGGAGCGGGTCCGACCCCCACGGCATGAGATCAAGGTGGAGGGGAGGTTGGACAGGGGGAGGAGAAGCGGCAGGACAGCCGGGGAGAAAGCAAAGCCACAAACTGGAG